AGACGGGGTCTCGCTCTTGCTCAGGCTGGTTTCGAACTCCTGAGCTCAAACAATCCACCCGCCTCGGCCTCCCAGGGAGCTAGGATTACAGGCGTGAGCCACCGCGCCCGGCCTGCAAGAGAATATTTTTAAGTGTTCTTTTTTATCCTAATGCCACATTAATGTATGATGTTAGAGTTACTGTTATTATTTGTAGTCTGTTTTCTCATTTGCATTCAATATGAGAAAGAAGAGATAAGTATTAGTATTCATATTTTTTAGTTAGAAAAATTAAGTATATTTTTGTGACTTGCCCATTTAAGTTCGAAGTAAATCTTGGACTAGAACTAAAGTCTCACATCTTTTTGCCCAGGCCTTTTCATTGTTACCCTGTTTAACTTGATTCCTAGGTTTGTTTTGAATGAAACTTGATTACACTTCCCCAGAACTGCATAGTATTATCCATACCAAATATTTATTAGATCTGTGAATTTACAAAGGTTTGATTAGAAGCAGCCCTTTTCCTCTAGAAGGTTATATTTCAGTGGGAAAACAAGTTAGCCATGTTAGTAAACAAACGGTATTTAAGTTGTGTATATATGTGAATGAAAATAGTGGATAAGTATCATTTCAGTGTATGAGCTCTGAAAATTAAGAGATCGTTACATTGAATAAATGTACAGTGAAAGATTCATCAGAGTCTTTTCAAAACAGTTTTAAAGGCCCTGAAGAGGCATTCGAAAGTATGGGGAGGGTCATATAGGTGCAGCTGCTCCTGTGTCAGTAAAGAATTAGAGATATAAAGGAGAGTAGACATTGGGAGCTGCAGGTAAGTCTTCATGAGTAGAGGAGAATGTGATACATAAGTATGACAGGAGATTACAGAGTTGCAAATGGGGCATGACATTCTTAACCAGAAAAGGTAAATAAAAATCACTGGAGAAGTCTAAATTTATAAAATTAGGGGCAAGTTTAGTATTTTAATTTTACAGGAATCTGTAGTTAGCTACAGATAACTGTCCTTCAGTTTTCTACTTCTCCAATATCTAGTCCTACTACAGTCCCTGTCATGACTAGCAGTCTGTCATAGTGTCTTCAGTAGAATCTTTGAGATCTACCCCCACCCCATATTTTTACCTGGAACTGACATCATGCAAATTAAGTGTAGCAACAAAATAACAACATCTTAATGCTTTACTTTCCCCAGGCCTGCAATAAATTATAGTGTTTAATTGTATGCAGAACCTATCACTAAAATCTGTTTAAAGGAAAAATAAAAGGAGTCAGTCTCTGCCCCTCTAGGAAGTTTTCTCTCTAGGCTTAGAGATGAGGGTGTGAATTAATTTGCTGCCAGGCAAGAGGAAAGCACGATACCTGTCACTGTGTTGTAGGATGACTCACTGGTTGTGTGGAAGGAAGTTGATTTGACCCGCCTGTCTGAGAAGGAACGTCGTGATGCCTTGAATGAGATTGTTATTCTGGCGCTGCTGCAGCATGACAACATTATTGCCTACTACAATCACTTCATGGACAATACCACCCTGCTGATTGAGCTGGAGTATTGTAATGGTAAGGTGGAATTCAGTGGGACTTCCTCAGGCAAGACATTCTTACACTCATACTTACCTTGAGGAGGAGAGTACAAGAAATGGCATATAGAGTGATAGAAACTTTAAATGGATTTCTAGAGTTTAAGAGAAATATTTCAGGCCTTGGAGAGTTTTAAAGTGATGTACAAAATAAGGGGAGGGATTTTTCCCCTGCATACTCAAATTTTCCCTTGTGATTATAGTTCCATGTTGAAATTATTTCTTCAATTGGATTTTACATTTATTTTTCAAGGTTTTGCCTCACGAAATGACATTAGTTAGCCATTAGAGTGTGGCTTGGCACCATTTGGTGCAATATTTAATGAAATCTTTTAGATGATATTTATTCGTATTGCCTTGGGCTAAATCTGTCCTATTGAAAAGTGGCCCAAAAATTATAACTAAGTGAAAATGATATGTAGTAAAGCATGGCTTTATTTATCTGATCTCTGATTTCTTCGGACCATTTTGCTTGTATGATAGCATTATTGCCTAGTGTTAAGAAAACAGACTCTGAACCCAGATCCCAATTTCCACTACTTTCTAGCTTATAACCTTGAGCAAGGAATTTAACTTCTGTATGCTTCGGTTTCTTCATTTTAAAATGAATTTGTTGATAACAATACCTACTTTCTAGGGTTGTCGTATTAAATGAAATGAATATGTAAAGCCCATAGCATGGTACTTGGTATGTGGCAAGTGTTTGATACCTGCTGCGCTGGCCGCTATCTTTATTGCACAAGAGAACCCCCCCCAAAGCCCTTTCTTGAATGGTATAAAGAGGTCCCAACGTATTCTTCACTTAGAACTTTCTTGTCTAGACTCGTGTATGATTGCTTCTTGTTCTGATCATGATCAATGCTAAATATTTGAGATTATATTAGAAAGTTTTGAAGTAGCAGAAACCTTAAGTAGTTAAAGTCCTTTGTGTTTAGGAGGAACTAGAACAAATGATACATTTATTGAAACTTTGAGATACTAAATTGCAGGGAAAGAGAAGTTGCAAAAACTTAGCCAGGGCTAAAGTGTAAGTTGTAGTTGCGGGTGGAAAGTAAGATGAACCATGATCATTTGTAGTCCATATTATTTGGTAAAGGAAAGAGAAAAGCAAATTCACACTTATTTCACAGGAAGGAATTAATAACGGGAATAATTATTGGAAACAATCTAGGAGTGGACCTTAAATTTTGGGAAAACTTTTCAGTGTGAAGTGGAAAGAAAAAGAATTTGTTTATATACATCCTGTATGTACGAAACATTTCATTATAGGTATAATCCAAATGTTCTGGTAGTCACACTGGGAGAGTTGTTATAAAAATATTGCACATTCCTTAAAAGGAACTATGGAAAAGTAAATAATCTGATTTTGAAGATATTTCACTAACTGGGGACTATAGGAATGGCCTTTACTCTCATTTTTTCTAAAAATGTCATTCTTTTTTTGTATTGAGCCTCTTTTGTTAGGGAGGGAGATCTTTGAAGAATATTTCTGATTCTGGGTGATGCGAGTAGTTTTATACCCATGTGAAAAGCCAAGAGGGAAGAAGTAGTTTCCTTTGGAGAGAAACAGAATCCTTCATTTCCTTGTATCAGTTGTTAAAACCCTGTTAGAACTCAGGAGGCTGAGGCAAGGCAGGAGGATTGCTGGAGCCTTTGAGTTTGCAGTGAGTTGTGATCATGCCACTGCACTCCAGCCTGGGTGACAGAGTAAGACCCTGTCTCAAAAAAAATCCCTATTAGATATAGGATCCAAGTTTTGATCTATATTAAGCAATTCAAACTTGTCTGTTGTTTAATTGCAGGAGGGAACCTGTATGACAAAATCCTTCGTCAGAAGGACAAGTTGTTTGAGGAAGAGGTAATTCATATTTCTATGGAAGGAAGCTAGAATTATAATGTTGTAATTCTTGCATTCTAGTTGTGTATTTACTCTTCGAACAGTGAAGAGTGTTTTTTTCCTTTTGTTCAGACTCCTTCCAGGCTCTGATATTCATGAGAAAGGAAACCTCTAACAAGGAAACTTTCTCTAGCTGCTTCCTAAACGTTTTACCTCCACATCATGATTCTCTATGGGCTTTCTTTCCTGGTTCTGTTACTGCATACTGGTATGCCCAGTTTTCTATACCTTTGCATTTTTCCTGGGTTTCTTTCCACAAATCTGCTTCACCATATTATATTTCATAATGACTTTGGAACGATTTTATGATAACCTGCTTTTTTTTTTTTTTTACCCCTACACTTTTCTTTGCCTACTCAACCTACAAGCAGAAGACGTTAAGTCATGTTGAATCATAACCTCTGGTTGCAGCTTCCTTTGTTTTGTTCGTGTGTGTGTGTGTGTGTGTGTGTGTGTGTATGTGTGTGTTTATTTAAGTGGAACTTTTTGTTTCTAATCCAAATATAATTTATTTTGTCTCTGCAGATGGTGGTGTGGTACCTGTTTCAGATTGTTTCAGCAGTGAGCTGTATCCATAAAGCTGGAATCCTTCATAGGTAATCAGTAAAAAATTTATGGGATGGATTCCTCCGCACCAATCCAACCCCAACCCTGGCTACCTCCTATCAGTACTTTTATTTTCTTAATGAAGCAGTTGTAGTTTTTCCATTGATATAATTAGGAAAGGAAAGCATGAGTAATGGGAGATGATAACTTGCTTCCTGAGGTGAAACCATGTTTGTGATCTAGGAAGAATCTCCTCAATGCCTAAGTACTACTTGATCTTTTCTTTCTTTTTTTTTTTTTTTTTGAGACAGAGTCTTACTGTGTTGCCGTGGCTAGAGTGCCATGGCGTCATCCTAGCTCACAGCAACCTCAAACTCCTGGGCTCAAGCGATCCTCCTGCCTTAGCCTCCCGAGTAGCTGGGACTACAGGCATGCGCCACCATGCCCGGCTAATTTTTCTGTATATTTTTAGTTGTCCAATTAATTTGTTTCTATTTTTAGTAGAGACGGGGTCTCACTCTTGCTCAGGCTGGTCTCAAACTCCTGAGCTCAAACAATCCGCCCGCCTCAGCCTCCCAGAGAGCTAGGATTACAGGCGTGAGCCACCGCACCCGGCCTGATCTTTTCTTTTACAGATATTTAGAGTTCAGTTTGTTAATTCGTCAGTAAAGCATAGAAGGCACTATGAGAAGTAGTATTAGTTTAGTTGGAATTAATAATAAATGTTTTCTCTGAGCAATAATAATTTTGCAATTGTTTTTAATTCTATAATTAAGTTCCTTTAATTTAAATAAAAGCCTATTTATTTTGTACAATTAATTGTATAAACTTACCAGGTCTTTGGGGATAAAAAAACAAATTTCCATTCATTTTCTAGCTATAGAAGAGAACCATTATAAGAACACTTTCACATCATTATACCCTTTTTAAGTGAGCTGTTGACCGTTGCCAGTGATTATGATATATAGGGTTTCTTTTTTATTGATTTATTCATTCAGTTAACATCTATTTCTTGATAGCTATTGAATGGCTACTGTTGCATGCTGTTGTTTTCTTTTTAAAAGTAACAAGGTATATTGTTCAGGTTTATTCACATCTTTCAAGAAAGGAAGCCAGGGTGAATCAGGCACAGTTTATTTTGTTTTACATGTGGCAAAACTGGTAATTCATCATTAGAAAAATAGCCAGTGATTTTATTTAGATGATCTAAACAGTCTAGTCATGTTTTCGTTGGGACATACAGCCTCTTCTCTTGAACAGATTATTTGAAACTTTTGATACCAACCAAGAGTTAAAATTGCCTTGATAACACTGAATTCAAGGTATAGGTGGTAGTTGAAGGGGCAGTGTGTCTTATAGGAATTATGTTTACCTAGAGCACCATTTTCCTCGGCTCACTCTCTGAACTTTGCCTAATGGCTCCATTGGTATGGAGGACATTCCTATGCTATGAAGCCATAGAAGATGAAGTTAACTCTCTGCCTTTACTCCTTTGAGTTCCCTCTTCAATGTTAAACTGCATGTGAAAGTGGTGACCACCGTATGGCATGTTTAGAACCCCATAACAAAATCTGAGCAGCAGTAACACACTCATTTTTATTCTGTACTAATCCTGGGCAGTGTGGGGGACGAAATAAAACAATTAACTATACGGACTGAATATGCACATCTTCTTTTTTTTCAGAGATATAAAGACATTAAATATTTTTCTGACCAAGGCAAACCTGATAAAACTTGGAGATTATGGCCTAGCAAAGAAACTTAATTCTGAGTATTCCATGGCTGAGACGGTATGTATGTGCTGCCCTTGAATCTCAATTCTTTTTTACTTTTCCCTTCCAGCACTGTGAGGTATAGCTATACCTCCTAAATCTTGCACTCTTTTTTCAGTGTTCTTGCAAGTTCTCCATACTTATAATGCAAATCTTTAGAAGTCTTTTTCCTGGGCTCATTAGTAGGCATGTACATGGTCAGGTGTTCTTTCAGGAGTCAATGTCCACGTTACGGCTCTGACTTCATAACCCTTTCTAACACTGACTAGAGACTTTTCTAAAAGCAACAGAATGCTTTGTTTTTTCCAGTCTAAGATCTTTAGTAGATTTTGCTTTATCTGTTATTTAATGTTTGAGCTCAAGGTGTCAGACATCTCTTTTTGTGTTTCCTTTGAATGTTTCTTCAGGTTCAAAGAGAAGCCCTATATTTCAAATAAAGGCTGATGCCCAGGCAACAGTCTGTTCCTTAATATCATACATAGTCTGCTCTACAGGGCTCTCTTCTTACCTGATTTTGAGAAAGACATGGAATAGACATAAGTTGATCTTTAGGATAGTGATCTTATGCTTTTAAGAATTATAAAACCCAGTTATTAACTCTTCTGGTTTCACAATGCTCTGTCCTTAAAAGAACTTGAAAATGTAAGTTAATAAAATTAATTTTGTCCTGAAGTTTTTTGATAATGTCAAGATATGCCTGCAAGCAAATTAGACATCCTGGGTTGGCAGTCTCTGCTTCAGGGACTCAGTTTTGGGTATGAGAGTGGCCAAAATGTACTTCTGAGAAAGCAATCTTGTCCTTATATGGATTTTTCTCATCAAGAACAATCTGATAAAACCCAAGATTGACTTTTTTTAGCCAGTTAGATGCAAAGAAGGAATGATGTGAAAATTTATAAATGCCATGTAAGCCATATGAAAATTCTTTGCTTTGCTGATTGAAGATGGTTATCAGTTCTGTTAGAACTGCTGGGGCATTCATTGTTTCTAATCTTGGGAGAGACATGAGTTCTACTTAGGACATTTTTATTTTCCAATCCATTCTTAAATTCAGAAAATCTTTTTCAAATTCAAAGAAAAATTTACTAGCTATGTTTGACAGATGTCAAATTGGGCCATTTAAAAAGTTTTATTAGTTAAAATGTATTCAGTATTTTAGTTAAAATGTTTAACCCTTTCATTCAATTACTGTCTCCCCACTGTCAGTGTTTGGTTTTTTTCCACTGGTGAACTTTACTAAATGTGTATCTGTGTAAAGTTTTTGGTAGGCCTTAATTGCCTAAAACCTCTGTGGTCTACAAATCACAGAGCTATTGAGCCCCCCAATTTACCACAATGCTTTTATCACAGAGACTGTCCCTTTGTACTTGGCCTAAGAGATTTGATATTAAAAAGATTTCTCCCTATAGTGGCATCATCTCATAAAAACCATTTTGGAATCTGCTGATGAATGTTTTATGGTTGTTATCACTAGTTCCTGGGAAATTTAATTTAGCTGTTGAAATGTTAATATAGTTAACCTCAGAAGGGAAGTTATTCTTTGATTGTTTTCTTTCTTGTTCAGCTTGTGGGAACCCCATATTACATGTCTCCAGAGCTCTGTCAAGGAGTAAAATACAATTTCAAGTCTGATATCTGGGCAGTAGGCTGCGTCATTTTTGAACTGCTTACGCTAAAGAGAACGTTTGATGCTACAGTAAGTTGGTGTATCCGCCCCTACATTGTCCTTGAAAATGGTACAACTTGGTCAAACAAATCAACTTTATTTATCCCCAGACTTCTGAGTTCTTGAACAGAAATCAACTGCAGACAAAAATAATCTGTATTCAGGCACTGGATTAGTAATATGTTATTAAAATGCTATAGACCCTGTTTATCTTCAACTTGAATTCCCCGTTGAAATATTGAATTTGTTGACTATAATTTTAAAACTGGCTATAGGGTCAAATTATGTGATGCTGCAGTTTGGAAAAGCCGTTTTATTTCATATGCTTCAGTACATCGTTTTTTAAAAAGCTAAGGCAAATTATATAATGCCCATTAAGATAGTTTTGATCTTTTTTATGAAAATTATGCTTTTACTGTTGTTAAAGATTGTCGTTGCTTCATGGACAACAAATCCCTTTAACTTTTTTTTTTTCTTTTTCTAAATAAATTAAAGTACAGCCTGGTGTGAAGCAGCACTTCTCAAACTTTAATATGCATACAAAATCACCGGGGCATCATGTTAATATGCAGATTCCATTGGGGGGTGCTTGATATTCTACGTTTCTAACAAGCTCCCAGGTGATGCTGATGCTCTCAGTCCATGGACCAGATTTTGAGTGGCTAAAGTAGATTCACATCCAGTCTCCTCTGCCAACCCAGATGTGAGAATTTGGGCAAATCACTTCATTTCTCTGATCCTCTATTTCATTATCTATAATATGAGAACAATATTAGCCTCACAGAGATTCTCTAATAATATGTGTGAAAAATACAAATGTAAAATAATGCAAATTCACTAGCCTTTCATGAGACCCATTTGTTTTTCTTTGCTTTTTTTTTTTTATTTCAAAATATTAAAGAAGTATAAATGTTTTAGGTTACATGGATCATTTTTGTAATGCTTGAGTCCCAGCTATAGGTATGCCCATCACCCAAATAGTGTTAATTGTACCCATTAGGTTTGTTTTTTTCCCCTATCCCCTCCCCTCCTCCCCACTCCCCCTGGTTGATTTCCACTGAGTTTTATTTCCCTCTGTGCACATGTGTGCTGGTTTGTTAGTTTCAGTTTAATAGTGAATACATATGGTGTTTGGTTTTCCATTCTTGAGATACTTCACTTAGGAGAATGGTCTCCAGTTCCATCCACATTGTTGCAAAAGGTATTAATTTATCTTTTTTATGGCTGAGTAATACTCTGTGTTATACATATACCACATTTTATTAATCCATTCATGAGTTGATGGGCACTTGGGTTGATTCTACATCTTTGCAATTGTGAATTGTGCTGCAGTAAACATTCGAGTGCAGATGTCTTTTTGATGGAAAATCTTTTCCTTTGGGTAAATACTCAATAGTGGGATTGCTAGATTGAATGGTAGGTCTACTTTTAATTCTTTGAGTAATTGCCATACTGTTTTCCATAGAGGTTTTACTAATATGCAGTCCCACCAACAATGTATAAGCATTCCTGTCTCTCTGCATCCACACCAGCATCTATTGTTTTTGGACATTTTTTTTGTTTATTTATTTTTTTGTGTGACAGAATCTCGCTCTATTGCCTGGGCTAGACTGGCATGGTGTCAGCCTAGCTCACAGCAACCTCAAACCCCTGGGCTCAAGTGATCCTCCTGCCTCAGCCTCCCAAGTAACTGGCACTACAGGCACACACCACCACATCTGGCTAATTTTTTCTATTTTTAGTAGAGACAGGGTCTCCCTCTTGCTCAGGCTGGTCTTGAACTCCTGAGCTCAAGTGATCCTCCTGCCTCGGCCTCCCAGAGTGCCAGGATTACAGGTGTGAGCCACCGTGCCCACCCTGTTTTTGGACTTTTTAATAAAAGCCATTCTAACTGGGATAAGGTGATACCTCATTGTGGTTTTAATTTGCATTTCCCTGATGATTAGTGACATTGAACATTTTTTCATATATTTATTGATCATTTGTCTTTCTTCTTTTGAGAAGCTTCTGTTCATGTATTTTGCCCGTTTTTTAACAGGGTTGTTTTATTCTTTTTCTTGCTGATTTGCTTTAGTTCTTTGTAAATTCTGGTTAGTAGCCCTTTATCAGACGTATAGCTTGCAAATACTTTCTCCCATTCTGTAGGTTGTCTGTTGTTTCCTTAGCTGTGCAGAAGCTTTTTACTTTAATCAAATCCTGTTTATTGTTTTTGTTGTTGCCACAATTACCACTGGGGGTCTTAGTCATAACTTCGTCACCTAAGCTGATATCTATAAGAGTTTTTCCTACATTTTTCTCTAGAATTCTTATGGTTTCATGCCTTAGATCTAGTTCTTTTATTCATCTTGAATTAATTTTTGTGAGTGGTGAGACGTAAGGGTCCTGTTTCATTCTTCTGCATGTGGCTATCCAGTTTTCCCATCACCATTTATTGAATAGGACTTCTTTTCCCCAGTGTACATTGTTGTCTGTTTTGTCAAAGATCATTTGGTTGTAGATAGATGATTTTACGTCTGGGTTCTGTGTTCTGTTTCATTAGTCTATGTCTCTGTTTTTGTACTAGTACCACGCTGTTTTGATTACTATGGCCTTGTAGTATAGTTTGAAGTCTGGTAATGTTTTTTGTTTTTGGGGGTTTTTTTCTTGAGACAGAGTCTCAGTCTGTTCCCCTGAGTAGAGTGCCATGGCATCAGCCTAGTTCACAGCAACCTCAAACTCCTGGGCTCCAGTGATCCTCCTGCCTCAGCCTCCTGAGTAGCTGGGACTACAGGCACACGCTACCACACCTGGCTAAATTTTTCTGTTTTTAATAGAGACAGGCTCTCACTCTTGCTTAGGCTGGTGTTGAACTCCTTACCTCAAGCAGTCCTCCTGCCTTGGCCTTCCAGAATGCTAGGATTACAAGCGTGAGCCACCATGCCTGGCCTGAAGTTGGGTAATGTGATGCCTCTAGATTTGTTCTTTTTGCTTAAGATTGCTTTGGCTATTTGGGTTCTTTTCTGCTTCCAAACGAAGCATAGAATTATTTTTTCTAGATCTGTGAAGTATGACTTCGGTAATTTGATGGGGATTGCATTGAATTTGTAAATCCCTTTGGGTAGTGTGGACATTTTAACAATATTGATTCTACCTATCCATGGGCATGGTATGTTTTCCCATTTGTGTCCTCTGGAATTTCCCTCCTCAGAGTTTCGTAGTTCTCCTTGTAGAGATCTTTCACCTCCTTAGTGAAGTATATTCCTAGGTATTTTATTTTCTTTGCAGCTATTGTGAATGGTATTGAGTTTTTGATTTGACTCTCACCTTGGCTGTTATTAGTATATAGAAATGCTACTGATTTATGTAAATTGATTTTGTATCCTGAGACTTTGCTGAATTTATTTGTCAATTTCAGGAGACTCTTGGTGGAATCTTTGGGGTTTTCTAGATACAAGATCATATCAACGAAGAGCAATAATTTGATCTCCTCTTTCCTGATTTAGATACACTTAATATTCTTCTCTTGCCTGATTGCTCTAGCAAGGACTTCTAGCACTATGTTGAATAGAAGTGGTGACAGTGGGCATCCTTGTCTTGTTCCACTTCTTAGGGGAAAGGAATGCTTTCAACTTTTCCCCATTCAGTATGATGTTGGCTGTGTGTTTGTCATATATGGCTCTTTATAATTATGAGATGTGTTCCTTAAATGCCTAGTTCATTGAGGGTTTTTATGAAAGGGTGCTGGATTTTGTCAAATGCTTTTTCTGTGTCTATTGAGATGATAATATGATCTTTATTTTTGCTTTTGTTTATGTGGTGAATCACATTTATTGATTTTCATATGTTCAACCATCCTTGCATCCCTGGAATGAAGCCCACTTGATCCTGGTGGATTATTTTTTTGATGTGCTGTTGAATTTGGTTTGCTAGTATTTTATTGAGGATTTTTGCATCCATATTCATAAGGGATATTGGTCTGTAGTTTTCTTTTTTTGTTGTGTCCTTTCCTGGCTTTGCTATCAAGGTGATAATGGCTTTGTAGAATGAGTTGAGGAGGATTCCATCCTTCTCAATATTATGGAATAATTTCTGTATTATGGGTACCAGGTCTTCGTTGTAGATCTGATAGAATTTGTCTGTGAATCCATCTGGTCCAGAGCTTTTTGGGTAGGGGGGTAGTTTTTTATTACTGTTTCAATCTCACTGTTCATTATTGGTCTGTTCTTCCTTGCTGAGTTTTAGTAGGTTGTGTGTTTCCAGGAACTTGTCCATTTCCTCTATGTTCTCTAATTTATGCACGTAGAGATTTACATAGTATTTATGGATTGTGTTTTGTATTTCTTTGGTATCAGTTGTAATGTCACCTTTTTCGTTTCTGATTGAGTTTATTTGAGTCCTTTCTCTTCTGATCTCTAGCAAGAGATCTGTCGATTTTGTTTATCTTTTCAAGATCCAACTTTTTGTTTTGTTAATCCTTTTTTTTTTCCTCGAATTCATTTAGTTCTGCTCTGACCTTTGTTATTTCTTTTCTTCTGCTGGCTTTGGGTTTGGTTTGTTCTTCCTTTTCTAGTTCCTTGAGTTATGACATTAGGTTGTTAATTTGCAGTCTTTCTGTCTTTTTGATGTAGGCATTTAAGGCAATGAATTTTCTCCTGAGGAAGGCTTTTGCTACATTCCATAGATTTTGATAGCTTGTGTCCCCTTTGTCATTAAGTTCAAAGAATTTTTTGATTTCCATCTTAATTTTATTTTTGACCCAATAATCGTTCAGCGGCAGATTGTTTAATTTCCACGACTTTGTGTATGTTTGTTTCTCTTGTGATTGATTTCTAGTTTTATTCCACTGTGGTCTGAGAAGGGACATTGTGTAATTTCAATTTTTTAAAATTTGTTGCGACCTGTTTTGTGGCCTAAAATATGATCAGTGTTGGAGAATGTCCCATATGCTGCTGAGAAGAATGTATATTCTGTAGTTTTTCGGTAGAATGTTCTGTAAATGTTAGGTCCATTTGATTTAGATTTTGGTTTAAGTCCGTTGTTTCTTTATTTATTTTCTGCTTGGATGATTTGTTGAGCCCTGACAATGGGTTGTTGAGGTTCCAAGCAATTACAATGGTGCTGTTTATTTCTTTATTTAGCTCTAGTAAATTTTGCTTTACATATCTGGGAGCTCCTGTGTTGGATGCATATATATTTAGGATTGTTATGTCTTCTTGTTGAATTGCTTCCCTTACCATTATACAACGATCTTCCTTCTCTTTCTTTACCTTTATTGGCTTAAAGTCAATTTTATCTGATATGAGAATGGCTGTACTTGCTCTCTTTTGATTTCTATTTGTGTGGAATATTTTTTTCCATCTTTTCGCATTGAGTCTGTTTGTGACCTTGTGGTTTAGATGTGTTTCCTAGAGACAACAGATAGTTGGGTTATGTTTTTTCATACATTCAGCCAGCTTATGTTTTTTGAGAGGAGCATTCAATCTGTTAATGTTAACTGATAGCATTGATATATGGAATGTTGGTCTGTTCATCCTGTGAAGTAGTCCCTTATTGCTTTGTTTTACCTCTTGTTCCATTGTTTTATAAGAGTTTTGAGTTTGGGGTATTGTTAGGTGAATTTATACTGCTGGGAATCTGTTGTGCTGATTTGTGTATAGTGCTGTTCTGAGTATTTCGTGCAGAGCAGGTCTGGTCATGGCAAATTCCCTCAGCGTTTGCTTATCTGAAAAAGACTTAATTTCTCCATCTATTGTGAAACTAAGTTTTGCAGTATACAAAATTCTAGGCTGGCAGTTATTCTGTTTAAGTCGATTCAAGATGGGGCCCCAATCTCTTCTGGCTTGTAAGGTTTCTGCTAGGAAGTCTGCAGTTAGCCTGATGGGCTTTCCTTTGTAGGTGATTTGATGCTTTCGTCTTGCTGCTTGCAGAATTTTCTCCTTCATTTTGACTTTAGCCAGGTTGATTATTATGTGTCTTAAAGATAACCTATTTGCTATGAATATTCCCAGTATTCAATGCCTATCTTGTGTCTGTATGTCTGAATTTCTGGTGATACCAGGGAAGTTTTCCTCAATAATTTCCTCAAATAGGGTTTCCATGTTTTTAATTCTTTCTTCTTCTCCTTCAGGGATACCTGTAATTCAAATGTTAGTTTGCTTCACATAGCCCCATCTCTCTCTCAGTGATTGCTCCAACCTTTTTATGCTCTTCTCTGCCTCTTTGAATGACCGGGTTATCTTGAGAGCCTTGTCTTCCAGCTCTGAGATTCTTGCTTCTCCCTGGTTTAGCCTGTTTTTAAAGCTTTCTGCTATGTTTTCAAATTCCCTAAATGACTCTTTCATTTCTTTAAGTTTTATTATATCCTTTCTTGTGTTATTTAGGTCTCTAGTGACTTTTTCATTTTTTTCATTGATTTCCTGGAAGTTTTTTTGGCTTCTTTTTGTTGGTTTTCAACTTTCTCTTCAATTCCATTCATCTTACTTGCCATCCATCTTCTGAATTCCATTTCTGTCATTTCGGCAATTTCCTTGTGGGTGAAGTCCACTACTGTAGCTCCATTGTGTTCCCTTGGGGGTGTCGAACTATTTTGTTTTTTCATGTTGCCAGGGTTCTTTTGCTGGTCTCTTCTCATCTGGCTCCTGTTCTCTTGGCTCTGGGTTAATAGGATTGTAGGACACCTGTCTTCTTTTGCTGGGATTCTCTTGAATGAAGTCCAGGAGTGGCAGCTGCTCAAGGCTGGAGGGTCCTGAGTGAAGTGTTGGACCTCTGGGAGGTTCTGCCAGCCCAGTGGTAGTGGTGGGGCCTCAGTAGCGGGGTCTTAGGGACTAGGCACAACTCTGGAGTCTCGGGTGGAGCCACAGGCCCAGCAGAGGCTTAGGAGCTACAGGGGCAGAGCCTCGGACTCGGGCACAGCAAGAGCTTCAGAGCTGGCTCTGGGGATTTCTGGGGCAGAGCTGGCCATATGGGGAGCTGTTCCACCAGCATGGGGACTGCTGATGCCCAGTCTCATAGGCAAGGATTTGTTGCAGTGGCCCAGGGTCCATGTAGGCGGGCTAGAGCTGCTGGTCAGTCAAGGGTCTCCCCTCACACCTAGGACCCATTGAGGCAGTAGCCCAGGCTTCCCAAGTGGTGCCTGTGGTGTCTGAGGCTCATCCTCCGTTCGGCTCCCACGTGGGGGAGGAGGCATGCTCAGCTCCCAGTCACAGGACATGACACAGGGGAGTGTGTTCCCTCCCCAGCCTGGGGGGGGTGATGCAAAGGCTACTGTCTGCCGGAAGGCAGGGTCCCAAGCAGACCTGGCTTTGTGTACCACAGTGATCAGGACGTCGTTGGTTGCATAAGGGCAGGCACCAGATCTCTGCTGTCACTGTTCTCTGGTGGAATATCTCTGCACAGAGTCTGAGCAGCTCCCCAGTCAGCCCAGAGGTCTACAGCGGAAGAGGGAGACGCTTCACAGTTCGAGCTGCCTGTAACTTTTGTTTCTCTCCTAAAAAGCAGTGTCCCCTTGGGTTGCCTCTATCCTGCTGTCTTCACCTCTTCCCAGCAGTGTGAATTGTACTGGGACCCCCAGCTTAATCTCCGAGATGGTGGGTGATACTTGTGAGTAAGAATCAGCCCCGCCCTGTTTGAGTTGGTAGATGCTGTAATGAGCTATAGAGTTGTTCTTCCTTTCAGTGGTGGATGCTTGCAGGAAAGAGCCAACTGCCTAGATGTTCTTTTGTGTCTGTGATAAGCTCTAGTCCCTCAGGTGGAGCACTTGAATGCCCCAGGCTTTGGGAGGGGCCCCGTAGCTCCCAGGGGGTTACTTGATCACCACAGCAGAGGTGAGTGAAGGAGCAAGGCAGGTTGTGGTTAGGTTGTGTGAGCCTGGAAAGCTTTACAAAGCAGGGCTCAGAAGTTGTTTTCCTGACCACTAGGAGGAGCTGCTGGAAGGAGAGTCAAGGCAGGCTCTCCAGACCAGGAGGGCTGCTCATGAGGAAGGGGCCACAGTTCCCCAACTGCCCTAGTGCCTGAATGCGCTGCACTTGGTTGCTATGGCCTCATGGGCTGGGATCTTTCCTACTGGAGGACCTGCCCTGGTCCAACAGCATGCCTTTCCTGTGGGAGGGTGGACGCTCTTCCAGATCCCCATGTCTCAGACCCCCACAGTATTCTGTCAGTTCCACCCACATGGGCTCCCTCACCTCCTGAGTCCAGCTCCCAAACCTCCTCTTTGTGTCCCCCAGCAACCCACTCCAGTCCTGGGGGCACGAGATCTGGCCTGTATGTCTGACCCTCTGGCATGTGTCTCTGAGAAATGCCAGTGGGCAGGGAGCCCCCAGATCAGACACCTCAGGTCCACTGCAGGTCCTCATGGGGAAAGGTGTGGGCCGCACTCTCTGTGGAAACCTCAGACTGGAGGTTGTGCCAGCTTGGGAGAGGTGGTCACTCGCTCAGACTGTTCTCCCAGTTGCAGTGGGTGGGGGAGAAGCAGGGAACGGTAAGAATCTGAATGGAAGAAAGCCGACTCTCCGGCCCCTCAGGTCACTCCCTTGGAGGAGAATCCCGCACTGAATGTCCAAGCTGTGGGATCACACAAGTTCTCCCCACAGTTCCGTGGTTGCCACATTGTTTGGGCTTCGGCAGGGGAAAGCTTCCAAGTAGCTTAGTAGCCCTCTGATCACTGAAGGAGTTTGGGAGGGAGAAAGGGACTGCCCCGTACCCTTTCACTGGGCTCCGAGCCTCTCTGGCTTTCCTCTTCCTCATCTGCTTTGCAGTTTTCCTCCGGGAGGTCCCTATCAGGCTCCAGCACTTCTCTCTACGACCTACACCTGAGCTGCATCCCCTCTTCCTCTCCCGTCTCCTTTATCTGAAACCCTTTCTTCCCTCAGGGACTGTCTGGCAAGCAATGTCTCTAGTCAGCCATCTTGCCCCAATAATTTCTGTTTGTTTTTCTAAATCCTGAAGTTTGTTCTGGTATATCATCTAATTTTCCTAAATAATATAGTAGAAGAAAAATGACTTTTGGAGTCAGATAGACCTTAGTTGGAATATGGCTCTGTTTTTACTACCTGTGTGGTTTTGGGCAAGTTACTTTACATCTCTGAGCCCCATTTTTCTCATGTACAAATTGATAATGATAATAACCTCCTTGAATGGTGTTTCTGAGGATATAAAAGATCATATATGTAATGTGCCTGTCTAACTTATAGTGGTCTCTCGATAAGGTGGTGGTGGTATTACTATAATATTTTTATTATTAACATCTTACTATTCACTGCTTTGTCTGTTGCAGCAGAGTATTGCCTGTGTAGCCATTATTAGAATATACAAATTAGGAGGCAAATTAGTTGATAAGGGAAGTACTTGAAGCCAAGAAGCAAGGCTAATCTTGTTTTTCCTTTTTCTTGGGATTCAGTTGAAAGGTTAGATTATAATATACTCTGAGCATTTTGCTGTTGGCCACACAGTTATAGGTTTAATCTCCATGTTGGCCAGTTAGCTTCATTCTGTCTGATAGCAGCAGTGCATCCCTAACCATTTCTTGCTGATGCATACTAATAGTTACAAAAAGAAGTCAGACCTAACGCAGACCTATTGCCAATTCTTTAAATAACGGCCACAGACATCTCAGAGCCCTCTTACTGGTAGATTATAACATAATTTTTACATGACCAGGAACAATGCAATCATCATTTTCTTATAGAATCCACTCAACCTGTGTGTGAAGATTGTGCAAGGAATCCGGGCCATGGAAGTTGATTCTAGCCAGTACTCTTTGGAATTGATCCAGATGGTCCATGCGTGCCTCGACCAGGTAGGTATGACTTACACATTCATTTCACTTTCGTATTTCCCCTGCCAGCCTCAGCGTTTGGAGTATGGCACAGAAACAAACCACACAAAGCCACGTTCACTTCCCCAGGGTAGGATGTATGTTGCGGCTGTACCCAGAAGAGGCATTAGTAATTCATGACAGTTGTGTGCTTCAACGAACAAATTCTTACTTTATTCTGCTTTATGAATAGTAATTTGTGAAATGATTTTGCCATTTAAATTGTGCTCCATTTTTTATGACTACAATTAATTTCTAAATATTTATTTTATAAAACTGTAGGCAAAGATGATTAGAGTTCCTAATATACAGAATGTATGTACTTATAGTATTTCATAGTTCCTTTGCTGTAGAGTTCTAGTATTATTCAAAATATGGTCCATGAATCATTGGCATCAGAATCACCAGAAAATGAGGGAGTTTTATAAGTAAGAAGATTCCTGGGCCCCACTCCAGACCAACTAGATCAGAATCTCTGTGGATAAAGTCAAGAAATCTTTATCTGTAATAAGCACCCCAGGTAATCCTTCTGTGCTGTACATATATACATATATATTTTTTTTTTTTCTTTTTCTGAGACAGAGTCTTGCTCTGTTGCCTGGGCCAAAGTGCCGTGGCATCAGCCTACCTCACAGCAACCTCCTAGGCTCAAGCAATCCTCCTGCCTCAGCCTCCCGAGTAGCTGGGACTACAGGCATGCGCCACCATGCCCGGCTAATTTTTTCTATATATTTTTAGTTGTCCGATTAATTTCTTTCTATTTTTAGTAGAGACGGTGTCTCACTCTTGGTCAGGCTGGTCTCAAACTCCTGACCTCAAGCAATCCTCCCACCTCACCCTCCCAGAGTTGTAGGATTACAGGTGTGAGCCACCATGCCCAGCCTGCGCTGTATATATTGAGGTTTGAGAGCCACTGCCCTAATTGAACAAGTGAGGAAGGTGCATTGTAAACATCCTCTTCCATGTACAAGTGTTAATGATAATAAGGTGAGAAACATGAACCATGGAGTATGACGTGAGAAGTTATGATTTTTGAAACAAAAGGATAATATAGAGTGGTCTTTCACTAACTAACCCACAGCCTTCTCAGAGGAAGTAAAATGCCTCTTTAGATCCCATGTTGTCTATTCCCAGTAGTGAAAACTAACTCTGTTTTTACTTGTTAGGATCCTGAACAGAGACCCACTGCAGATGAGCTTCTAGATCGCCCCCTTCTCAGGAAACGCAGGAGGTAAAGTACAAAGAAGTCACTTCATTGTCTTTCCTGACATGGTTGCCTGTTAGAGGCTTGATCAGAGGACCACAAAAAAGGGTGGTGTTTCATGACTTGGCCACTTAAGTAAGTGCTGTTTTCTATCAACATCTCTGCTTTCATTGCTTGAGGATAGCACTTGACTTCATTTCCTTAGCCTGGGCTATTCTGTTCTAAATTTGTACTGATGAGACCCCAGAACCCTCTTCATGACCCATCTGTGGGTTTTTAAATCTAGAATTTAGGCATTACGGTGTAGTAATTAAGGGAAACTCAGACATCCTCAGGTTTGTATCTCAGTTCTGTCATCTTTGTCAAGTTAGTTAACATCTCCATCTCTTAGTTTTCTCCTCTATAAACTGAGATAAGGTGAAGATTAACTAAGGTAATGCATAGAAAGTGATCAACCCAGGGCCTGGTATAAGGTGCTCAAGAACTGTTGGATAGTAGTGTGAATTGGATGGGTAGACGGTAGGTTGGAGTTGGAGGAGTCCTCTTCAGATACCTTTTGCCTATTTCTGGAGGTTGAGCTTTATTGACTCCTGACAGGTTATTTCCTGAGATTTATTCTGTGTCAGAGGTCTCTAGAGATAGGAAGGATGTCCTTTTTCCCTCACTTCCTGTGGGAAGCTTCAAACCTTAACTTAAAGGACAAGGTATTCTTTGTCTTTCTTAACTTTGCTAGTCTGTATTTCATCCTTTTATACTATTTTTGCCTTACTACCCTTCTTCCTCCTCTACCAGTTCTTTGTTTTTATATCCTCCAAATATTCAAATATTTACTATGCTCTTTTTCAAGTTTTGCCCTTGGGTACATTAAGTATATACCTAATTCCATAATATTTGCTATTTGGTCAGTACCTTTTATTCTGTTGTGTCATTTAATTAATTTTTTCTGATTCTTCTCCAGTTGGTCTCTAGCCAATGTTTTGATACCTGGAATTATGTGTAATACTCCAGGTATAGCACTATGACCTTCCATTTATGATCTGTGCATATTCAGGCAATACCACTCTTTTGGGCCAGTTAAGCATATTTAAAATTTTTATCTGGCTTATATCCCAAAAATATGATCACTATTTTAATCTCATATTGAAATATTTTGACTGATAATTTTTCATTGAAATTTTTCCTAGACAATTATAGACTTACCTTCAATACTGTATTGGAACTTTGTACTTTGATGGAAAAACATAAGACGAAGAGTTTTCCAGACAGAGAAAATAGCATAAGCCAAGGCACAGACACAGGAAGTTGTAGAAAATATTCAGGAAACACACAATCCTATTTGGCTAGTTTAGTGGTTCTAGACCTGGTACTCTCAATGCAAAATCTCAGGAGTTTTCAAAAAATACTGATGCCTGAGCACTACCCCTGTAGTTCAGCTATATTTGATTCAGGTAGAATGACAACCCTGGGCTAGGACATGGGCTGTAAGCAAAGGGAAGGAAAGCTAGAAAGATAGGTAGGGAATCATTCATGCCAGGCCAAGGAATGTGTGCTTAATTCACGTGATAGCACGGAAGTATTGGACGTTTGCGAGAGGGCAATTCATGTGATAAGAGGTGTACCTCAGAAAGAGTTATTTATCGATATTGGTTTTAATGTGAAATTAGCATAGTAAAGTAGTTTAGGACCGTAGCAAATGAGACTAATTAAGGGGTGCTGCCACAGTACAGATGGGAAATAGAGCTGCCGAGAATTGAGGTGGTGAGACTGGAAAGGAAGAGGTGAGTGTAAAAACTACTGTATAGGTAGAATCTGTAGAACCTGAATGTTGAAGAAAGGGAAAGAGATGAGTGAGAGATGACTGAGGTTTTAAGCCCAGTTGATTGGGAGAATGGGAGAGGGTGTTGACAATTATGGAAATAGAGAAGCCAGAAAGAAAAGCTGGTTTGAGGGAAGGATAATGAGCTCAGATTTGGAGATGTTTCGTTTGGAGAGTCAGTGGGCAGACTGAATGGAGTTGTCCATCAGGTACTTAAACATGTGCATCAGAGGTTCTCAAGGCTCTCCCTTCCAGCCTGGACCACTTCTCAGAAATAGAAAACAAACGGTGTGAAACTGCTTGCCCTTTGGTATTTAATGAATTGTCTAATGCCAGGCCTATATAACTGTTTGAGTTGTACGGAGGTACTTTCATAAAAGTATTGTAATGGGCCGGGCGTGGTGGCTCACGCCTGTAATCCTAGCACTCTGGGAGGCCGAGACGGGTGGATTGTTTGAGCTCAGGAGTTCGAAACCAGCCTGAGCAAGAGCGAGACCCCATCTCTACTAAAAATAGAAAGAAATTAATTGGACAACTAAAAATATATATAAAAAAAAAATTAGCCGGGCACAGTGGCGCATGCCTGTAGTCCCAGCTACTCGGGAGGCTGAGGCAGGAGGATCGCTTGAGCCCAGGAGTTTGAGGCTGCTGTGAGCTAGCTGACACCACAGCACTCTAGCCCGGGCAACAGAGTGAGACTCTGTCTCAAAAAAAAAAAAAAAAGTATCGTAATATTGTAGGGTGCATACAGTTTATAAAATGATTAAATATGTGAAATGTGTTAAAGAGACATCTTTGCAATATAGGAACCTATTATTTCACTCATGTTTATTTGCTTTTCTTTTGGTAGAGAGATGGAGGAAAAAGTCACTCTGCTTAATGCACCTACAAAGAGACCAAGGTAATGCTCAAGAGACTGTTGAAAACTAATACATCCTAAATTACCAATGGTGGGGGGGTCTTTCTTGGGTTTGTGCATTATTTGACTCCAGTAGCCTTTGGCATCCTTTCAGGAGAGAAAGCTACAATTTCACCCTCACGCTAAAGTAGCCATCATTCCCATGATGAATATTGAAAAGTGTAGAAGTTGTGGATCATCCCAGAATCTGATCTAGCCAAGCTGTGATGAAGCCCAGAAGCAAGAATTGCAAAGCCTGCTATGATAGAGGGTTGAGAAAAGTTGTCAAGAAAGAACATACTTTCTCATACCATAATTGGCAGTTATTCTCAGGGAACAGACTGGAAGCATTTTTCCTTGATGTTGTTTTTATATTAAATGTGCCTTTGTTCTGGGGTTGTTGGCAGGTCAAGCACTGTAACTGAAGCGCCCATTGCTGTGGTAACATCACGAACCAGTGAAGTCTATGTTTGGGGTGGTGGAAAGTCTACCCCCCAGAAACTGGATGTCATCAAGAGTGGCTGTAGTGCCCGGCAGGTGTGTGCAGGGAATACCCATTTTGCTGTCGTCACAGTGGAGAAGGAACTGTACACCTGGGTGGTAAGTAAAAGCTAAGTATTAATACTTTGGAACAGTGCTATAAGCCTCATTGTTTACTGGGCCCAGATGTTTATGCGTTTCGTTAGTTGAACCTGTGCTAAGGGAGTGGCATTATGGGGTGATGGAATGGAAACTCTTAGGAGAGGAGGGATTTTGTCTGATTAGTTTACTGAGGTATTCCCCCAGTGCCTGGTACATATTAGGTCACCTGTAAGTGTTTTCTTTTTTTTTTTTTTTTTTTTTTTTTTTTTTTTTTTTTTTTTTTTGAGACAGAGTCTCACTCTTTTGCCCAGGCTAGAGTGAGTGCTGTGGTGTCAGCCTCGCTCACAGCAACCTCAAACTCCTGGGCTCAAGTAATCCTTCTGCCTCAGCCTCCCGAGTAGCTGGGACTACAAGCATGCGCCACCATGCCCGGCTAATTTTTTCTATATATTTTTAGTTGTCCGATTAATTTCTTTCTATTTTTAGTAGAGGCGGGGTCTCGCTCTTGCTCAGGCTGGTCTCGAACTCCTGAGCTCAAACAATCCACCCGCCTCGGCCTCCCAGAGTGCTAGGATTACAGGCGTGAGCCACCGCGTCCGGCCTGTAAGTCTTTTCTGAATGAGTGAATGATAGAAGGAGAGAAAATTAAAAGAGCCTTACATTTGGACTCAGAAGACTAGGCTTTCCCATTTACAGCTGGATAGTTTAAGATAAGTCACTTAATTATTCTGTTTTATTACCATGAGGTTCAGAGCAACTAGTATCTGTGAAATAGCCTTGTAAACAAACGAAGCGCTATACCATGTCAGGAATCTTCTGAGACCTCCACCCGTGACTGATGATAGCTAGGTATAGCTTGTATAGAATTTCCCCCTGGTACCCTCTAGATTCCACTCTGTCTCTCACCTTCTTACCAAACTGTTTCCTTTATCCCCAGTCTCTCCTCATTCACCTACCATGCTGCTTCCATTTCTGCCACTCAATTTAAACTGGTCTTGACAAAATGACATATAAATTACTAAAATAAAACAGATAATTTTTAGTCCTTACCTAGTTTTACCTTTTGGTAGCACTTGATGTAGTTGACCACTCCTTCCTTCTTGAAGCCGTCTTCACTTGGCTTCCATGATAGCACGTTCTCTTGGCTTTCCTCCTGTTTCTTTGTGCCTTCTCAGGCTCATTTCAGGCTACTTTTTCTTTACTTCAGCTTGTCTTTGGCCCTTGGTTCGCCTCTCTTAGGAAGCTCATTTTTTCCAGTGGTTTCAGATACCTTCTCCCTGAGGACAGGGACCGTATATGTCTTTTTCACTCTTTCATCCCCAGTATGTAAGAAAGTAGACACTCAGCTATTGATGGAGTGAAAGAATGAATGAATGGTTTGGCCTTTGTTATGGAGTGTTCACTTGCTGTTATTTCCTAAAACCCTATCCCTTAAAGAACTAGTTCCTGGGAAGCTACCAGAAATGGAGTGAAATTAGTGCCTTAAAAAACATTTATGGCCGGGCGCGGTGGCTCATGCCTGTAATCCTAGCACTCTGGGAGGCCGAGGCGGGCGGATCGTTCTGAGCTCAGGAGTTCGAGACCAGCCTGAGCAAGAGCGAGACCCCGTCTCTACCAAAAAATGGAAAGAAATTAATTGGACAGCTAAAAATATATGTAGAAAAAAAATTAGCCGGGCATGGTGGCACGTGCCTGTGGTCCCAGCTACTCTGGAGGCTGAGACAGTAGGATTGCTTGAGCCCAGGAGTTTGAGGTTGCTGTGAGCTAGGCTGACGCCATGGCACTCGCCCCAGGCAAGAGAGTGAGACTCTGTCTCAAAAAAAAAAAAAAAACATTTATATAAGGACTTGTAGTTGAGTTATTGAATGGAAAGAATTACTTATCTCTATAAAACTGTTGAAAAGTCACGGAGGACTATTCTCAGGGCATATAGCACCTTCTTTGATGTGACCAGTTCTTTATAACTGGTCCACATTTCAGGGAAACTGTCACCAAAATTTATGAAACTTCTAGTACAGATTTCCAGGAGGCTGTACTACTGGAGAAGCAATCCAGTTAGACTGTATAAAGAATTTTTTCAGCATCACCCATAATTAAATATATAGTTCATCTTAGACTTGCAGGATAAAGACAAAATTGGGAATGTATCCTTTTAAGTCTTGATGAATATCAATTTAAATCTTCTTTACCTGTTGGCAGGGGTTTTATACTACCTACCATTAAAAGGTTTAATCCCCTTACCCATTTTTTTCTAATGTCTAAATTTCCAGCTTTTGTTTTTCTTCCTGTTTTTCTTCACATGAAATTATATTGACGATTAGTTTTTGGCATGAAAAGTTAAAACTTCACAAGCCCTCTCTATTTCACAGAACATGCAAGGGGGTACTAAACTCCACGGTCAGCTGGGCCATGGAGACAAAGCCTCCTATCGACAGCCAAAGCATGTGGAAAAGTTGCAAGGCAAAGCTATCCACCAGGTGTCATGTGGTGATGATTTCACTGTCTGTGTGACAGGTAAGCCATCAGCACAAAGCATCTACGTGTATTTAATGTAGGGTATTGTGCTTAATGCTGTACAATTTTATTTGGGGTTTTACAACAAAAGACAATACTCAAAGACCAAAAGACATTGAGCAAATATATTCATTCATAACAACATGCCAAATGTACTATAGTATTAGGGGGTGGTGTGCAAAGAGAAGGCAGGTGGATAATAAAGAAGAGGTGGGATCAGGAGAAATGTGTTGTATGTCCCATTTGGGGGGAAAAGTAATCTTACCACCTCATCAGGCTATAGATAACACAAAGTCAAGATCAAGACCTCAATTTAGTTTTTGTCTTATCATTACTCACTTGGTTTTATCTATAAAATAGAGATGGCCCCAGTAAAATTGTAAGTCCTTTTAATACTTTTTAAACTTTATTATAGTTATAGTACATGTGACCCTCTATATACAAACAACTCTAGACTTACACAGTCTATCCTTCAGATTTCCCTGATGGAGTCTTCTCATGGGAGATCATTGGCCAGGTAGTTCTCATTCTAGCCCTGCCTGCCCAGCTTTCTGATTGAATAAAATAATTCAGTCCTTTGATGGGTTTCTATTTTCCTTCCTTTTGCAGATGAGGGTCAACTCTATGCCTTTGGATCAGATTATTATGGCTGCATGGGTGTGGACAAGGTTGCTGGCCCTGAAGTACTAGAACCCATGCAGCTGAACTTCTTCCTCAGCAATCCAGTGGAGCAGGTCTCCTGTGGAGATAATCATGTGGTGGTTCTGACACGAAACAAGGAAGTCTATTCTTGGGGCTGTGGCGAATATGGTAGGGGTAGCCTTGTCTCTGTCCACTTCTTCCCAGGTGCACAGCCTGACTCGAAGCTTGCGTGCATCTAAACACATCCTGCAGCCTCTATATGAGAAGTGTTAATTCAGCAAAAGAGAATCTTATAGAACATCTTCATTGGCAGGAGGTGCTCATTATAATGATTTTCATTCTTATATGTGTTTCAGGACGACTGGGTTTGGATTCAGAAGAGGATTATTATACACCACAAAAGGTAAAATCAGAAGCAGCTTCTACCTAAGGCCTAAGTCAGATAGACTCCAACAATATGTCCTCTTGACTTTTCAAATCATGGTGTTTGTTTTTTGAATATTTCCTATTTCAAGAAATACTGTGGGAGACTGACAATCTAGGATTTCTGATTTAGCGCTATGTGGTCTTATCATCTGACTAAATCATAGAAAGTTGAGAAAGTGGATGTATTAATAACAGCTGTGGACACTGTCACATCTTACTCAGGGATGAGAGCCAAAATCAGTGTGTATAGCAGAAAAGTCAAAATATAGCTACGTATACACTGGAAAACCCCTCAAGAAGATATTAGAAAGCAGTAAACTATCTCTTAACCCTGCACAGCCATTTTACCCTCCTATTTCTGCAGTTGAACACCAGATGAAATTGTTGTTTTTATTTAGGGTCATGTTGTGTGAAATATAATGTCTAATTACTCTCAGCTCTGTCAGAGCTGGCACTGCAAGGGGCTCACAGAAGCTGAGACCAGCTGAGGGACAAGCATGGTTACATCTCTCTCACACCCATCTAGGGCACAGGCTTAGCCCCCAGAAGGTTGACTAATTGACTATACCATTTACTGTTAACAGTTTTTATTTACATTTTAAAAATTAAATTATGTGTTTATAGGGACTATTCTCATTGGGATTCACGGCTGTTCCTCTCCTCCTGGAAAGGCTGTCATAGAAACTTTGAGGGTCCAGGTTTCAGGCTTTACACTCATCCAACGTGGCCCCACACATCCGTCACCCCTACCATTTTCCATCTCTGTTTAGCTATAGAAGGATGTAAGCATTTGGAAGTCCTAGCTGCCACCTCAGTACTCTGTCACCTCTCCTATAAAATGACCAGATTGGGACCCCATAGGGCTACTGAGTTTCTTTTGTAACTGTCAAGCAGCCTCCCATCTCAGAGGACAAAATCAGTAATGGATTGAAGCTTCTTCTTTCCCAGCTTTTTCTGAGAAGTCTCCCTGTTAGTAGAACCTATTACTAAAACATAACTGACGGCCTGTCTGCTTAGGTGACTTAGAACTGCTGCCTTTTACCTTATGTTATAAAACTTGAGCTCCTGTTTGAAAATAGTAACCTCTAACCGCTGGGCAAATCTGAAGAGAATACAGAAACCCTTACTTCCCTGTAGTCATTCTGCTAAATGCAGCATGTTACTTTTGAAAAAATTTGGGGGTTTTTTCCTAATCTGAGTTATGTATTTGGGAGTTCTTTTTCTGATTTATTTATTTTTTTCTTGCAGGTGGATGTTCCTAAGGCCTTGATTATTGTTGCAGTTCAATGTGGCTGTGATGGGACATTTCTGCTGACCCAGTCAGGCAAAGTGCTTGCCTGTGGACTCAATGAGTTCAACAAACTGGGTCTGAATCAGTGCATGTCTGGAATCATCAACCATGAAGTGAGTGCCCACTTTGTTTCTTTGGGATGCTGTTATTGGTTAGTGACCATAGAATTTGACTTAAGAATAAAGTGATGATCTCACAGACATTGTCTTCAGCAAAAGAAGCCAGCCACAAAAGAGTACATGCTATATGATTCCAACTACGTAAAGTTCAAGAACAGGCAAAATTAACTTACGATGGCACAAGTCAAAATATTGGGTACTATTTTGGGAGGAGGGGTATGGGTATTAACAGAAGAGATGGGAGAAATCCTAGGCTGATGGGAATGGTCTTTATCTTGATTGGGGTAATGGTTTTAGTATGGTTTAAGTATGTGCATACAGAAAAATGTATCAAGCTTTGCAGTATTTTGTAGTATGTTGGTTATACCTCAATAAATAAATTGATTACAAAGAATAAAATGATGGAATTCAGGTTCTACCGTATCATTTAAATAGAAACAAGAAAATTAGCGTTATGAAAAAGAAACATATTTCCATGTGTCATCTCCCTGTGGAGTTTTTTAGACTGGTTCCCACGTCACTGATCCTATAATAGGCTTATTAAACGTAATTACCATTCTCCTTTCAAGGATGTAATGATATTCACCACTGATACTGTCTTAGTTTCCTGTTTGTGTTAGTATCATGAGTTTTTGTCATTTTCTAAAGAATCAGGTTAAGAGACAAGTTTTCTGACTCAATGAGAAAGGTAAAAGTTAATTTTTAAACAGTCTCTAAAGTAGTGATTCTCAATTAGGAAGAGTACAAATTCAAGGCAAGGCTGGAGATAGTTTGAGAAGGCATGTTCAGAATTACCATTACTTGATTTGTGTTGTTATAACATTGGATTTGTTGTGAGATTTTAGACTCACATGAGAGGATTCTTTTTTTATACTAATTCACAGGGAATATGGGTTTTAACAAAAGGTTTAGAAACCCTACCCTGTAGATGAAATTAGATCACAGAAAACTAATTGCTTTATGGGCTGGAGAGTCTTCAGGATTTTAATTTTTTGCCCTGCCTTTGTTAGGTATACAAAGTATATAACAAAACAGATGCCAGCGATTCTACCCTAATGTAAATACCTTCTGGGATAGAGAGTTCATGTTTTTTATACTCTAATTCAGAATCTAAAACTTTCGTTGTCAGAAAGTACTGCCTCATATGCTGAATTCTCTGATTATTTATTGAGCTTTTTCCTTCTTGTATTCTGTTGGAGATGCAAACTACCTGGCACTTTCTTCTGAGTAACATGATTTGCCTTTTGGTCACTGTGGCCCATTCTCAGCCTGATTATTCCTCCTTTTTTTAAAAAAAAAAAAAAAAAAAAACCTCATGAATCTTTGTTTTTTTACTTTGTTTCAGGCTTACCATGAAGTTCCCTACACAACCTCCTTTACCTTAGCCAAACAGCTGTCCTTTTACAAGATCCGTACCATTGCCCCAGGCAAGACTCACACAGCCGCTATTGATGGTGAGTTAATTTATAACTGTATTACATCCCTTAGTAGCTCAGGCACTTTTATCCTGTCAAGTACTGGCTTTTCTTAACAATATATACATCCTTCTGATTTCCCCGTAGCATCCAGGATTATCTCACTAACAAGTTAGGCATTCAGGTACACATTTTTGTTGATAATCATTATAAATGCAGGATAAATATATCCCTTAATGCAAACACGACACCTATAGTTCCAGACGTCTGTTGTCTCCAATTAGCACCTTCCATAAGTATTCTAAGATAGTACCCATTTTTCACATTAAAAATACTGCAGTATTGGAGAGAAAATACAGTATTGTCACTAACCGGGTCTCATTGGATATATTGTCTAGATACCCTAGCTGCTATAGGTCCAGGATCATGTGGCTGGTTTATACTTGTATATTCTAACAGCCAGAAGCTAGTCCATGGAACTCTGCATAGGCTGCATCTTTTCCCTGTTTAATCACCCATTTGTGCCTGGTTATTGATTTTTGCTTTTCCCTCAGAGCGAGGCCGGCTGCTGACCTTTGGCTGCAATAAGTGCGGGCAGCTGGGCGTTGGGAATTACAAGAAGCGTCTGGGAATCAATCTGTTGGGGGGACCCCTAGGTGGGAAGCAAGTAATCAGGGTTTCCTGCGGTGATGAGTTTACCATTGCTGCCACTGATGGTGAGTCTTTACCTGTCATTTCAAGCTTTCTGGACAGATGGCTGTGTTTTAATTTTCGACTTGGAAAGAGGTAGACTGGATATTTGTATAACTGAATCATGCATTTACTTTTTTATTTGTATTAAATTAGTGGCCAGTTATGCATATTGAGCTTTTTAAAAGATCAGATTTCTAGATAATGACAAGTTAATATTCTAAGTTCCTCCTTTTTCCACTTCAGGTTTTAAGTTTTTTGGTAAAATGTTTCAGTAATTATCAAGTACTTCTATATATACCTTGCCCAGCACCTTGTCGGTTTCAATAAACATTGACTGGGTGGCTGGAGAGAACAGAATAATTTAATCTTGCTCCTTGGTTGGGGTCAGTTGTACTGCAGTGATACCGCTAAAGCTTGAAGGGCTATTTTCCTCTGTGCTATGTCTCTCTGCTTCCTGAATTGGTCTAAATTGATTTTTCTTCTCTCTTTTCCCTTGTGGCTGTTTCTTCTTTGCATTTTATCTTCTTGCTCCTGTCTGCTTCTCTTCCTTGCTGCAACTGTTGCCATCCTTCATTCCCTTCCCTCTTTCTTCTGTTTGCTTTTTTTTTCCTCTTTTTTTCTCGCTTCTTCCTGTATTGTCTTCTGAACTTCATGATTTATGTAGCCACTTTTTTCTCATGATTGGTGAGCAACAATCACATTTGATCTTCTTATCTTTTGACTCACCAACTTTTGTTGTTGCTCATACTCTGAGATGTCCTTGCTTTCTTTTGGTCTGTGCCTGTATGTACACATGAGGAGTCTCAGGCAGGGATAGTGCCAATTAAGTGATCTGTTACTGTATGTAATTAAGTAAACCAGCTTTCAGAGCAGCACATTAACCCTCCCTGCTTGTCTCAAAACAAAGGACTTTAGGGAGCAAACTGCTTGTCAGACTTAGATAAATGGAAACAGTACCTAAAAGGACAGAGTCAGCATACCACTGAGGATAAATTTAGTGCAGAAAATTCAGTAGCACTTTCTGACAGTGTCTCAGAGAGGTCATGTTTCTTGAATAGATCTGTGTACCTCATGAGTTAAACTTCAGAATGAGAAGTGTAGAATTGGATTCTGTAGCTGGTCATGTTACCTCTTGATAAATGTTCTTGTTCTCTGAACTGTACTTGATAGCCTGATTCCTGTCCAGGTCCTCTTTTAGGCTCTGAAAATAAAAGAATGCATCTCAAAAAGCCCCTGTGCTCAAGGAGCTCACAGCCTAGTAGGGTAGGGGACTAATACAGGCAGGTCTCTCATGTGCTGTGATAACTGAATCCAACTCCTCTAAGTCCTGGAGTGCCCCAAAGTTGTCCTCTTGCCAAAGTGAGCTCATTCTCTTATATCCCCCGTATGCACTGACAGCTTTACATTACCACCCCTGACCTCCAGACTCACTTATTCAATAGCTTCTTGACTTGAATGTCTAAAGACAGGGTGGCGGCCGGGCGCGGTGGCTCACGCCTGTAATCCTAGCACTCTGGGAGGCCGAGACAGGCGGATTGTTTGAGCTCAGGAGTTCGAAACCAGCCTGAGCAAGACCAAAACCCTGTCTCTACTAAAAATAGAAAGAAATTAATCGGACAACTAAA